TGTGAACCGAAGTAACTGAGCCTTTCTTAATGTTTTGATTATTTTCATAGCCTGCAGGCTAATTTCCACTATATGTTGTGTGTTAATTAGGTGTCTGGCGACTGCGCTTAAGAACACTTTCCTGCCTTTCAAACGGCGACTTCTATGGAAATGCTTGGAGAAGCTAGCAAAGCCGTAATATGTGCAAATTTCACTCTGTTGTTCTATCCTCTATTTTGTCTCTAGTTCATCCTTAAATCCAAGTGAAATCAGAACTCCACTTCCCTCCCCTCTTGTCTGATTACTATATAAATAGTTACTCTCTTTTAACATTATATAATTGTCTGCATAAGAAAAAGGCACAAACAGTGAATACAGTTTTCTTTTCGACGATTCATTTTCATGAGCTGTACAATCGTAATTATATGAAACAAAGAAATCTTTAGACCAATCAGATACTGGTAAACTTTGTTCTTGGAGAATTGTATTACATAATGTAAGATGTAAGAAGGGATGACTAATTGTAAGTTAGAAGAGAAACACAATTCGGTATGACGTAATAAGTGTGAGGTAATGACAAATCAATAAGCTCATGTAGAATGGACAGGAAATAATGGAAAGGCGGTAAAGTGTTTTTATATAAAATCTGTAAGAAAAAGCATGTATGTTATTAATAAACAGTAATAGAGTAGTAATAAAATGTGGATAATGGGAATAATAACGATAATAAAATAACAGTATTAACAATAATAATAATAGTGAACTTACATAATAAAAGAAAGAAGCGAAATTGTAGTAAGAATTTTATTCTGGCCACGGTAGGGGAAGAGAATGCATGTATCGCTTTTGAATGCAGAGGTCCAGTTTCAGATCTCGAATAGCTAATGTTTCAGCTATGCACAGATGGAGTATCCGAAGTTGCTTCTTACGATATTGAGGGACTCTGAGTATCACTGGGAAGCATTCTTGGGGGGGGGGTGCTCGATGTCCGGAGATGACAAGGTGTTCAAGGATAGAGCTGCTGCTATTCTTTTCTCCCCTGGCTGGCTAACCAAGCTGGACAGGGTTCCAGAATACGTTTGTGGACTTGACGTTGCATACGGCCGATATACTTTGCCCCACACGAGCAAGTAAATCGATAAATACACATTGAGGTGGCCAAAAGCGTTAGACTGGATTAACTGTCTGCAGGAGAATGTGATACGTAGGATGGCTGTTGGAAATGTCTCCTTCAGACATTTCGAAAGGTGGTTTCTGAGAACTTCCGCTGCGATGTCACCTTTGAATTCTAGGTTCATGAAGATAGTTTTCTTAGGAACAGTCGCGATGTCTGACAACGGAGGCTTATCTTTCGTGTTCTTGTCGTTGAATCTTGGTGGATACCCATTCTCTAGTAGGGTTTTACTTAATAAATTTAATTCTTTCTCTACCGTGTCTTCCGAACAGATTTTTCTAATCCTTGAACACAACGTACGTACCAGGTTTCTCTTTCGGATTAGTGGGACAAAGCTCTGGAAGTTGATAAACTGTCCAGTTCATGTTGGCTAGCGATATATCGATCTTTGTATCGTGCAGTCATGTCTTCTGGTGAGTAGTACATCGAGGAATGGAAATGCGTTGTTTGATTCACGTTCTAAGGTGAATCTTATTGATGGGTGTGCTGCGTTGAAGGTTTTGAGGAGATAATCTAAATCAGATTTTTCATCACAGATTATGAACGTATCATCTACGTATCTTCTGTATAAGTGCATTTGGTTTATCAAGTGATCTAGGATGTCGTTTTCGAGACTCACCATGAAGCGGTCGGCTAGGAGTAGACCGAGAGGAGACCCCATGACTATGCCATCTTTCTGTACACAGAATTGTTCACTGAATTTGAACTGGATATTGAACGCACATCTGGAAAGTAGCTCCTTCAGGGAGTTTATGGGAAGAGGAACTTCTAAGTTGTTGGTTTCGATGTAATTACAAATGAAGCATGTTGTTTCGGTTAGGGAGATGCTTGTGAATAGAGATGCGACTTCTAGTGAGAGCATTTGTCTTTCAGACACGTTGACATCCTTCATTGAGTCGATGAAGTCAAATGTATCTCTGAGGCTATATTTTGTCATATATCTTTTTACTGGTTCGAGGATATCAGCTAGCCACTTCGCAATTTGATGATATGGTGAGTTAGCCATGTCTATGATAGGTCGAAGTGGGAAATTCTCCTTATGCACTTTCGGCAGTCCACCCAGTCTTGGAATAGTTGAACTGCATGGTTTTATTTGCTCATAAACCTCTGGTGTTATGACTGAATCTTCTTTCATTCTCTTCAGCAATTTTGTAAGTAAGTTTTCTGTTCTTTCGGTCTACATACATTGTCTACTTAATTCAACTTCGAAATTATGTTGCTTATACTATCTACCTATAACTTGAAGTCATTGTGAAGCAAGTGTGTTCAGACACCATTTTGTAATATAAAATAATAATTATTGATTTATTTGGGATGTATACAGTTGGAGAGAGAGGGAGGGAATCGACGAAATAAAACGAGCTTGTATTATCCTTACTGGAAATATGTTCGTTCTTTCTTTATTGAAAATAAATAAATCTGAATGGTAGTCTGATCTAGCAATTCCTCAGAAAATTAAGCCATAAATAAACGAATCAAAAGTTGTGTAATCAGGTTATTATGTCAGTGAATGTATAAATCATGGCTTCACTGTTAACAAAGAGGTTAGTGCGTCCTAACAGTTCCCGACCTGAATTGTGGAATCGATGAGGTATAAGCTCTCTTTGACAAAAACTGAGTCCTGGGTCACTAACTGGCTGCATTCCTACTTCTCTAACAGAAAGCAGTACACCGCATACAAAGGTAAATCCTCCTCTGCTACGCTCACTGAAGCTGGTGTCCCCCAAGGTGCTGTACTTTCCCCACTTCTCTTTTCTTTCTTTCTACATGACTTACCATCTTCAAATGACATTAAGTTTGTCAAATATGCTGACGACCTGACTGTATCTTTGCCTATCAAATGTCAAAGCGACTGCTCCAAACTAAATAGCTTTCTATCAGAAATCAGCCAGTGGTCCAAGGAAAACGGTCTTACCCTAAACCTCTCCATATGCCAAACAGTCAATTTCACCTTTATGCATAAATCCGACCTAAACAAACCGGTTGGCTCTCAAGAGGTGTGCAACATAGATGGCACTGAAATAGAAACCAAATCGGAAATTAAATACCTAGGTGTCATTCTATCTGCTGATCTTTCCTGGTCGTCTCATATCTTAGCGATTTCTAAGAAAATATTCCGTCTTACCTTCTACATCAAGAAGTTAAAACATTCTGGTATAACCCAACCCTTACTCCTACAATTCGTTAATTCTCGCACCCTGCCTATTATTCTCTATTGTTCCCCCTTAGTTTTTCCCGGGCTACTGAAGAAAGACTATAACATATTACACAGGATGTTAAAGGTTGTCAGCAGGGTAAGCAACTTGCCACTTAACCAGCTTGTTAATATTCTGGTTGACAGGCACATGGACTCATGTGAAAAAATGGGCTAAATCCATTTTATCTAACTCACACCACCATCTTCACTCACAACTCTCCCCTTGCATCTCATCAGGCAAAACCAGAAAACTATATGCTCGCACCAGCAAGTACAAAAACTCAACCATACCCTACTTAGCTCGTGTTCTGTGCGATAAAGAAAGCATTAGACTTGACACCTATAATTCATTAAATAGTCAATAGAACAACTGGATCTCGTCTTTCCAACTCATATCATTTATAGGTACAACATTTTCTTTCTTTGTTTTCCTTTTCTCTTTATCTCTTTTTTCCCCGTTATGTGCTGCTTTGCTTCTTTCTCTCGCTTACGCTAGTAAATATGATAGCACCTACTTTTCTAACACCTTCAAACACTGTTCAACTTTGGCTTTGCTACCGACATGCCAATGTGTTGTTGTTGTCATAATGAACTGAGATTTCCTTAATCTGTGTAGAATTCTATTTATTGATAATGTACTAACGGGATGCAATACTGTAGTAAAAAAAATGCTGAGAATTCCATTCTGTATCACAAGTACTGTTTTGGAATAAAGCAAATTATTATTATTATCCATTAATAAGTTTAGCTCCATTGTGGGTAAAATTTATTTTGATAAAATCTCACAGTGTGTTATACAGTAATATTTACTGATGACCAAATTTCGATCAGAAATTATTGATATGATTATGAGCAATAATTTGCGCTCGAAATGTCGTTAGTAAATATTACTGTATAACACTGTGAGACTTTATTCAAATAAAGTCTTATCTATAATGGACTTTCTTTGTCTTCTAATATTTCCATGGAAGTTACTGACGAGGGGGTGGGCTGGGGTGAGGGCGGTTGAAGGGAGTATTCGCTTCAGTTATCTCATAGAGGAAGGAGTTCACTGTCTGTCAAATTATGAATACAAATTGAGCTATCTATGATTAATATGCAAGTGTATGTTAAACCACTTTTCTAGTTATGTTTTGGTTTTCAGTGAAGTCAGTTCATCATAACAAGATTTACACTGAAACAAACAGAAATCCTTACAAAACCTCGTAATGTGAATTTCAATCTGTAGTTCACTAGCATCTGCTACATGCATATCCTGAAAGTCTAATGAAACGTTGTGACCACTAGAGTTCATCACGGATACGCAATGATGACATTATTTGAAGCTACTGCTATATCCTGCATTGATAGGGGTTAGGATTCATTGATCTATGAGTTTCTATCCACTGGCTCAATAATCTATGGTCTTTCCTTGAGAGCGAGAAGTCCTCATTCCACAACTCCCTGTATAGTTGTGAATGAAGACTACTGAAGAGTCCCAAACTGGGACGAAACAGTTGTCAAGTGCTCTCCGGTTAATAAATTTCTACATTGAAGCAGCGATTAACTTTATTTCCTACTCTGTGTATATATATATATATATATATATATAAACACAACTAATTTCCTTTGTTTGTTTTTTTTCATTTTTCTCACCTATGCATTCAATAGAATTCGTCTGTATCGTAATGCAAATCAAGTTCCTTCAAATATCAATGATAATATAACATGTGTTATACAAGAATATATTGATAATCCTTTACTTATTGATGGATATAAGTGTGATTTAAGAGTGTATGTCTTGATTACATCATGTGATCCTTTAAGAATATTTATGTATAATGATGGTTTAGTACGATTAGGCGCTGAGAAATATGTTAAACCCAATGAACCTGATGGCGTAAGTTCAATTATATCAAAATCAACAATGATAATAACTTATTTAAGAGTAAACAAAGTTCCATTCTGAGGTAATATATATATATATTGTCTGACCATTCGGTGAATCTTGTTCGTCGATGGTTCGTTTAATAGTTGAATTCTTGTCAGCGGCAGGAGAGGCTCGGGTTGGATTTTCACCTGACGACGTACTACTCAAACCTCAGTGAACCAATCAATGGTAAGCTTGGAAAGGAGGGAAGTTCTTCTATGTGAGGCTAGCAACCCCTTCCTCCGAAAAAACATCATCACCACTTCAACTTGAAACCTTAGCTTACACTTGGAAAGCCAAGGAATAATTTAATATATATATATATATAAAGGGATCAGGTATATTTCACTACGGACTGTAGTCAAAGTGGTGACTGGTAAAAACTAAGCTTCATCAAGTTGTAGTCTACTTCAAGATCCTTAGATTTATTGGAAGTTTAACCAGAAGTTCATCAGTCAATGTATCAACTAAGTAGTCACAGTAAAGTTTTCAGCCTAGAAAATATCGACTACAACTTCATACTAAAATATCTATCGAAAATTAGTAAAGGAGGTTAACAGTTGTCTAAAAAATAAAATTTCTACAAGTGTTAATCTACAACTGATATTGATCTGAGAACTATCGAAAACTTTGGAGTACTGGATAGCTATTGTTTCGTCCTAATTTAGGAGAATTAAACAACACAAAACCATTATTCAACTCAACTGGGGGTTGAAAGTAACACCTTCAGCTTACGAAAGCAGATCAGCGGCTGGATGGTTTAAGGGTTTGTTTTGTCACTTGAGGATTCTGTATCCAATCATCAGTGAATGGGGTCTTTGGTACGTTACATTAAAAACTGACATCAGTTGGAGAATGGCTGAAAAGCTGTTTCGTCCTAGTGAATAACAGATTCAAATAAAGCGAAAATATTCATTCAGACATCTAGAAAAAAAATATATTTGAGCAAAGAATATCCTTTGAGGTAAATTCCTCTTCTGGCTCTACAATTATACACATATTTCTGTATACATAGAATATTCTAGATTAGTAGTCAATAACAATATTAGTGTTTTTTAAATAATGTCAATGTGTAAAGTAAGATAAATGGAATTACAGTTCATTAAAGATGCTTGAATTATAGTAGTAATAAAGATATAATAGCAAATAGAATATCAACTAAAATTAAGGAAATTTCTGCAAACAGTTGAGGATCATCCGAACCTAGATGGTCAAGGTAAGGACAATGTCTGAACAGGCTTCTTTTGGATACATAAATTAGGCTTCTTAATGTGGATCCCAACAGCCAGCCTCAGCAATATTTAGTAGTCGAACTCTTAAGGCAAAATTGAGATTTGTTGTTGGTATGCGGTAAATGACTTTGAAAGCCGCCCCGTTGACATCAATCTTGTGTTCTGAATGCACAAGATGAGATAGAATAGCGTTAAGAATAGATTTTGTTTGTCCTTTACTTAACCACTATGCAGGGTGATGTTCGGAAATCCGACGGGAAACACCCCTGATTGTACGGCCTATGTAACTGGCTCCACAGGAGCAGTTAAATTGGTCGATACACGTGGAAGAGGCGAAATTAGGCAGTTTGTCTTTTATTCCCGAACGCAGAAGAGGAGTGATTTTGAAGACACAGAGTAATTCAGCAGCAGGGAATGCTCTTTTACCGCATTTCTAAGGCGTTGTGTTAGTATCTCACTGGTGTTGTCTCCTAGGAACTGCATCTGTAAGAGTAAGGCCTTTTTAGGAACTGTCGGTACCCTGGGCTGCTGCTTTGATTTTAAATTCATATTCTTATCAATAATCATTTCTGGATAACTGTTTTCACTCAGCAACCGTTTAATATGATTAAGTTCTTCATCAATACATTCACCCGAGCACAAATTGCTTTCTTGCTCTGTGGTGGCGGACCAAGCACTCTATCAGACTGCGTTTGTATTTCAAGGGCACGAAGCTCCTTCTGCTTAACAGGTTTTTCCCCTCACGCATCTGACCTTCTTCTACTTCTTCTTCTTCTTCATCTTTTTATCCTTCCAGGATTCAGTTTATCGCCATTTAACCAATTATGCTGTAAATAAACATCATGCTGAATATAATCGGTCAGCTGATGAAATGTCAGGCAGTAAACGTTCGTTTACATTTTTCAACAATTATATCCGTGATGTGAAACAGTGTAATCCATTGGATATATGGCATAAAATACGTGATCTAATTGTTAAAACAATAGCTATCGCTCTGCCTCACCTATTGCATTCTTATCGTATGTGTCGGCATAAATCAAATCATTTCTCCAATGCAAAATTGCCAAAGAATTATTATTTAAACAAACAGACAAGCTTCAATGGTGTCAATGAAAAGTGTTCAATATCCAATGAATTGAATAATGAATTGAAATCAAACTTATCTAGTGTTCAACAACAACAACAACAACAAATAAATAATAAGGATAGTAGTCAACATCTAGGAGCAAAAGTGAAACAGTCGACAAAAGCATCGAAAAGATATCGAGATTCTAATGAATACCTTTCAACACCATTTGTTCGTTCAAATTTATTCGAAATTCTCGGGTTTGATATTTTGCTAGATAAAAATTTAAATCCATGGTTGATTGAGGTAAATCGTTCACCGAGTTTTAACAGTGATCAAGAATTGGATAGACGAGTTAAGCATGGCCTATTGACAGATACATTCCGTTTATTGAATATTCGGTAAGTCATTATGGATGAAATTTTTTTTCATTATGATAAAATCACACAGTGTGTTACACCTACAGTAAGTAATATTTGCAGATGACCAATGTTTCGAGCACAATTTCTTACTACTGCTTATAGTTAGTTATCATATCAAGGCACCATTCACACAACTTTCTTGCTTCTTCGTTTATGTACATGAGTAAAAATTGATGACAAATCTTTAAATATTCTCATTATTTTTATATATTAGAACAAGACATATAAGCGAACAATATTACTGTTTTCAATTGGATCTTCTTCAGGCTTTACTCTAATTCACATAGATTCATATACAAGAATTTTAACCAATGTAAGCGCAATATCGCTTGAAATTAAGTCACGCGTAGATATAGGCTATCCCGGTCCAGAACAAACAAGAAGCCGGTCACTGTTTCTACGGTACTATTAATAAACAAATCAATTAATATATATACAACAAACCTTAACGGTTTCAAGAGTACAATACACAATGCTTAACAGAAAGCAAGGAACCGCTATCAGAGCGGAATAACGTTAAAGCCAAAATTACGAACTAGCCGGATCAGACACGACCGTTCAGGTAAGCAGTCAGTAGAAGAATGAACCCAAGTAAGAGATAGACAAAGCATAGGCACAAAGAGAGAATTTAATTGGCTACTTAACCAATCAATAAATAAGATAAACTCAACAGAATAATACAAAGTAAGACATGGGGCAGCAAAATAACAGTTCACAAAAATACTCTGATTGGGTCATGAGTTCAAGTGTCTGACTAAAAGGATCGAAGTAAAAACACACATACACAGTTAATTAAACAAGGTGGGATAGACACGTTGGGCATGGATAATTGTGTTGCAACAATGCTAGGCTGATCCGGGACAGGTTGACTTGATTTAAGGATGGGAATGGAATTCATCTTACACCGGCCCCCAAAATCCGACTAGGATTTTATGAATCATGTTACACCGTATAACCCTCGTGCCCAGCTCTCTCACTGTTTCCGGATATAAGCAACCAAAGCCCTCTACTGCCTTTCTCAACGCGAAGTTCACACAGAAGGGTGATGAAGTTAACCCGAACGGATGCTGTTATCTGAAACTCCTGCGGCTCTTCGTCTAGAAAACCATTTTTCCACCACAGAAATAGTAATGCTCGTCGATCGTTTAGTGACACTTTCACTTGCAAAAACATATCAGCTATGTCCACGACTACAGCAATAGGCTTTTCTCGAAAGCGCAACAGAACACCAACAAGCTCGGTAATCGTATCAGGTCCTTCATATAGCTTATCGTTCAAAGAATAGCCTCTAAAGGTTGCGGTGCAATCTAGAACTATTCTCAGTTTATCTGGCTTTTTCGGTTTCTTTACGGGATGATGTGGAAGATACCACCTCGGGCGATAGTTGGCTGCTAGCTGCTCTAGGGGTACCGGAAGGGTATAACCATTTTTTAACATCGTACTTATCCCATCCACATATCGTGCTAAAAGGTTCTTGCCACGCGATAACCTCCCTTTCTGATTGAGTAACCGATTTATGGCGACTACATAATTATTGCCCGTTACCTTTGCTGGATCTCTCAATGGCAAGGGAATGATGTAATGCCCCTTTTCTAAGACGGTGCTTTGAGTAACCAACTCGATAACCCTACGATCTTCGATAGAAAATGAGCGTTCGTTTTCCTCAGTATCCCTAAACTCAGCTTCATCTGGCCTTTTGATGTCGTCTTTGACACTCTCTTCGCTGATTCGAGCGTAGTTGACAGTGCCTTTTTTCGTATTTCCATGAAGTGGCCCTAGCAAGACCCAACCGAGCAATGTCTTGATTGCGTAAGGTTGTTTGTGACTACCCAAACGCTGATCGAGGACCCAATGCGCCTCGGGAACATCGCAGCCTATGAGCATTGTGACCCTTTTATCATCAAGTTCGCGGAATGGCAATTCCTGGAGATGTGGCCAGCGACGGGCTTCTTGTGATATCGATAGTGAGGGTGCACTGACTGGCAAGGATGGCAACGCGAACACTCTGTCAAGTTTTATTATTTCATTTTCATCCATTGATGCGACTTCCAGTTCGCACATGTTGCCCTGCACCTGACTCGCACCATTGATTGTTGTCAAGGTCATAGACGATGGTGTGCCCTCTAGGCCTAAGCTGCTTAATAGATCCTTCGTAACCAAGGTAACGTCGGAGCCATTATCCAGAAAGGCATAAGTTTCTATTTCCTTACCGTGGGCCCGCACCTTGACGGGGATCACACCTAGCATAACTGCCGTTCCATAATGCATAGTAGCAGCGCATGTCGCCTGTTCTACCACTTGATTTACGATCGGTTCAACATGTAGCAGGGGGTGATGTTTACCACTGCAATGAGCTGTGGAACACTTTATACCCGATACGCAGTGATCGATACGATGTCCGACCTCTAAGCACAGAAAGCATGCTCTATGGCGGCGGACGCAACTCCATCTGTCTCGCACATCTAATCCAACGAACTTCTGACATGAAGCAGTAGCATGGTCAGACCTACAGAAGATACACAGTCGCTTGGGTGCAGGAGTCCTTTCTCCCTGTATTGCGAATGATGTGTCCCCCTGACGACCCTGTCTATTTAGCGAAACTTGGGCGTTCGGGCGGTTAAAGCCCTCTGAAACGAGGTGTCCGTATCGGCTTCGTGCCACTCTTGCCTCTGTAGAAACAAACTGGCAAAGATCCTGAAAAGATGGCTCTTGCCCCTCTTGATTCCTTGCGTCTGCTAGTCTGGCCCAATTCCTTCGAACTGCTATCGGCAGTATGCGTACTATTCTCTCGAGAGTTGTTACGGAATTTAAGTCAGACAAATAGTTCATTTCAGTTAGGGCAATCAGGCAATTCTGAAGCTGTATTGATAGATGGGTTAGAGCTTCTCCATCTTCTGCCACAGGTCGTAGACTTCTAATCATGTCTTCAATACGGTTTCGTGCGATGACGTGGATCTCTCCAAACAGATCCTGTAAGATACACTTAGCTCGCGCATACGCACTCTCAGGACGCAAGATCACGCACTCATGTATGGCTGCTTTAGCTCGACCCTTACAATAGTGCAACAGATATAACATTCTTTGACCAGGGTCCTTTACTCTATTCTCGACATAATATTCGAATTCCTTGGTAAATCTCAAGTAGTCGGTACAGTTGCCATCAAAATAGGACATTTCAACCTTAGGCATGTCAAGTTTCTCTACGACCGCGCTCTTCTCGATCGTTACAGGAGTGTCCCCGCCAACCATTGCGGCACAATCTTTCACATATCGTTCTAGCTGCTCCCGGTTATCAATGACACTGACTCTTTCATATTCCTCAGTGTTCCGTTCGTCGTCCGCGGCTAACTTTACATGCAGCTCGGCCATTTCGACGTCATGTCTAGCCTTTAGCAACTTTTTCTCTAACTCTAATTCTAACTCCTGTCGAAGCTGTTTCTCTTTTAGCTGCGCCCTTAGTAGCGATGACTTAGCACTAGTTACTCGCGATAAGGATGATTTCGAACTACTGACATGAGAGCCGGGGCACGAAAGGTTATCAACATGATCATTTATGCAAACGGGGACTTGCCGACTCTCCGACTGCTGCTCCAAAATTTGCTTCCCTGATCTGGTTTGCATCGTTCCAAAGAAAAATTTATTTTCAACAACGTTGCGTGCTGCCAATTCACCAAAGTTTCTTCTGGATGAACGTTGAGTACTGACCAGTTCAGTACGGGATTTTCTGTTTGACGTTGAGTACTGACCAGTTCAGTAAGGTCCTTTCCGTCAAGGCGATAAGTACTGACCAGTTCAGCACTGTCTCTTCCGTCAAGGGCTGATCCGGCAAACTTTAACTCTATACGTTAAGTACTGTAAGCGCAATATCGCTTGAAATTAAGTCACGCGTAGATATAGGCTATCCCGGTCCAGAGCAAACAAGAAGCCGGTCACTGTTTCTACGGTACTATTAATAAACAAATCAATTAATATATATACAACAAACCTTAACGGTTTCAAGAGTACAATACACAATGCTTAACAGAAAGCAAGGAACCGCTATCAGAGCGGAATAACGTTAAAGCCAAAATTACGAACTAGCCGGATCAGACACGACCGTTCAGGTAAGCAGTCAGTAGAAGAATGAACCCAAGTAAGAGATAGACAAAGCATAGGCACAAAGAGAGAATTTAATTGGCTACTTAACCAATCAATAAATAAGATAAACTCAACAGAATAATACAAAGTAAGACATGGGGCAGCAAAATAACAGTTCACAAAAATACTCTGATTGGGTCATGAGTTCAAGTGTCTGACTAAAAGGATCGAAGTAAAAACACACATACACAGTTAATTAAACAAGGTGGGATAGACACGTTGGGCATGGATAATTGTGTTGCAACAATGCTAGGCTGATCCGGGACAGGTTGACTTGATTTAAGGATGGGAATGGAATTCATCTTACAACCAATGACGGTGATTTTTTGGATCTAGTAGTAATAATGATAATAATAATTATTATTATAATGTGGTAAATGTTTTGAACGTAATTAATAACGATGATTATAATGATAACAACAACAATCAGCATAAATGGAAGGAACCTGAAAGAAACAACCTCCTTCACCTACCTACCTACCTGGGAAGCATCGTTTCAACTACAGGCGAACGGAACTGACGAGGATATCAAAGCAGCGAGGATCGGAAAAGCAAGACAAGCTTTCATTACTCTCAAGTCCGTGTGGAGGTCAACACTCGGCACTCAGCATCAAAAATAAGATCCGGATTTTCAACTCCAATGTGAAGTCAGTGCTACTCACTGTACGGATCAGAGACTTGAATTGCGCGTCATAAAGAGCATCTCAAACAAACTACAGACATTCATTAACAGTTGTCTTCGCTCAATACCACTCAGGATCAGACGGGCTGCCAGAACAGATCAGCAACAGACATCTCTGGCAATGAGAGAACCAACACAGCAGGAACCGATTGTGAAACAAATAAGCAGAAAGAAATGGAGCTAGATTGGCTGGCCAAACTCTGAGGAAACCATCAAGTGACATCACTAGACAAGCCATTGCTCTAGTGGAACCCAAACGGCAAGCGGTGAGTTGGTCATCAGCGCAAGGGTGACTTGGAGGAGGTCATGTGAAGAGGAGATGAAAACGTGTGGGCAGACATGGAGCCAGGTGAAGACTCTAGCAGAGAACCGAACGCAATGGAGACGCAGGGCTGAAGCCCTATGTTTCTCTAGGAATTAAAGGAAACAATAATAATGATAACTGCCGATGATCCCCAAACTAGGATGAAACAGCTGTCCAGTACTCCCTGGCTGGTTTCCAATGGTTCTCTAACTGATATCAATCCGTGATCAACTCATAAAAACATAACTAACCCTTACAAACTAAACTATAGAAAATTAATCTGATGCTCCCTAGTGATTTGCTACAGGATGGAGTTTTCTGGAGTTCTAGTGAGAAGTCGCGACCACAATGAGATCCATCCAGATGTCACTTGTGAGGATGGATGTTCCATTGCCGACATTAGTTGGGGTTGCGCTAAATCACAAATTGGTAAAAGTTAGAATTCATGGAGTGCACAGTGAATCGAGTCCCAGTGGCTGAATCGTATACGAGCTTGCCTTGTAACCGGAAGGTGTTGGGTTCGAATCCCAGTGGGTGCGCGCTGCCGATGACTCCGAAACTAGGCTGATGAAACAGTTGTCCAGTACTCCCTGGCTGGTTTCCAATGGTTCTCTCTAACTGATATCAATCCGTGATTAACTCAATAAGAAGTTCTATTTTGGCTCATTTGATTGATAGCGGTGACCAAGTGGACAGAAATAGTACCTTCAAAGTTATCTATCGCATTCCATCGAGCCTTTCAAACGGAATTCGAACCCTCCTTTTGCACAAAGCCGAAGCTATGGGAATTTGAGAGAACAATCCTAGTGTCTTTGCATACAAAAGAAGTTTGTTCTACCTTTGTCTCTCCCTTGGCCTGGGTGAATTCTATTCAAAACCCTCCCATCCTTTCTTATTTTTTTATGTTATTTATTTAAAGTCTGATTATCTATCCACTTCACCATTAGTATTACGTAACTTTTAAGATTTGACCAAATTTATTTATTGAGTTGTCTACATATACACATACTACTTATTACCTTCCTTATTCTTATCGCCATCTGCATAAACCTTATTATCAATATTTTGGATAGCGTTATTAGAAGACGGAGATTATCTGAAAAGCAATGTGGGGTGTATTTGCGCTATACATTTCGAACAATCTGATCCCTCACACATTTACTTGTCAAGTCGATATATATGAAAAAGTTAAATTAAACAAAGTGACAAAAAGAAAAGGATTTAAGAATGATTAACACAACGTTTGGTTCATCTCGATTAGGTGTTTAGCTATAGACGAAGTTGGTAGTCTGACACCTGCTAAACACCTAATCGAGATGAACCATAAGATTGATGTTAACTCAGCCTTTAAGGTCATCTATAAAAATGGTCAAGGGCGCTTATTGGAATACGCCGAGGCTATAGCCATCCACCCCCGCTGTGTATTCAAAGACAGTTTATTATTACTCTTAACCTACCTTGGTAATCCTTATTTGATTGGATTACCAAACGTTGAATAAAATAAAGGACCCAGTGGACCCAATTAGACAAAGTAAGACAATTTACAAAATACCTTGCAACAACTGTTAGGTTATATACATAGGTGAAACTAGTAGATCGGGAGTAGTGAGATTATTAGAACATGAGAATTTAGGAAAGATTAGAATGATTGATCCCACGAAGATAAGTGATTTAAAAGAAAGCTCAGCAATCGCACTGTAAGCACTAGCACCCAAAAGGTTGGGACAGAGTTAAAATTCTAAAGAGTAATATAGGTAGGTGGAGCGCGTGAGAGGTCGATTACTGAATCCTGCCTGGTTCATATAGTCTACACCCAGGGCATGCATTACAAGTGACTCAACGCATATACCAGAGATATGGGAGATATTATTACGAGTCAAATCAGAGGATAATAAATAATGTTAAAATATATTCAGTTCACATTATAACGTCCTTAGAAGTTACTTATTTTGACAGTAAAAACATCTTATGTCCCATCATATTGTATTTTATTGATAAAACTAATATTGTTTCGGAATGTACTTTATCTCCCCTTCTGTTTCACGCAAGTTTTATTCAAATGTCTAATCAAGTTTTAGTCATGTGTATAAACGAAGCAAAAAAGTTATGTGAGTACCTTGCTATGATTATAAGGAGCAATAAATTGTGCTCGAAATGTGGTCATCAGTAAATAAAACTTACTGTATAACAACACTGTGTGTGTGACTTTATCAAAAGAAAATTTTTATGCGTAATGGAATTATAATCTACCACAGTGTCCAAGTTTTATTCTTATATCATTAGTGAAAGTACTTACGCAGGATTGACCTGCTATTGGATTGATTTAACTATTGATTACGTCACTATTCGCTTATTGTTTGACTACACAGAATCGAACATTATTTTGGCAGTACACTATTCATTCTTTGCTTTCTGAGTGAGTGAGTGAGACGTAGACCCTCAGCTTCCCGATCGGCATTGAACACACTGAACACACACATCCACAACTAATTAAAAGCTTTTATTACCTTGACATCGAAGCGATATCCACTTTATCACTTACAGTTCCAAATCTAATTGAAGGCACGGAATGTGATGTTACTTTAAAATCTCCCCAACGTATGTCCAGTACATCTGCATTTCCTTATGCATATTTATTGGGTAACAGGTTCCCAGCTGCTTGGCTTCTTGTCAAAATTCCTTGTGGCCTATCCCCTTTAGAAGGATACATGGAACTGTCAGATCCCTTGACAAGTAGATTGACATTTAATCTATGGTTACAAATCCTATAGCCGAAACACATATATATATATATATATATATATATGTTCCTGGCTTTCATGGGTTTTCTAAGCGGTTTCAGTTTATAACAGAAACATTTCTGAAGTTCTTTAATCACTGATTATTCAGTCAGTTAAAAAGACGGTTGTAGCGAAGACAAATGTCTTCTTTTCCGATAAAGAAAACATCAACTAGGCCATACATTCGTGCAAAATATTGCATAGTAAAGGGGTGAGAAAGATCCACAATTATTTTTGATCAAGGGTCGAATTAACAACAATACAAATAGAGTTTAAAATGTAGCGGTAACAAAATAAACAGGAAGTTGATATAAAAACGTAGTAGGATCATGATTTGAAGTAAACTGGTGGATGGTGGAATTAGAGAATGAGCATTTCGTCCTATTTGGGACTCACCAATTGAATGTACCTACATTCCCCAGTGACTGAGTGACTGATAGTATTCCTGTTGAGGCACTTCTGTTCGATCAATTGACAGCATTAAATAATTACTGATGCTCGTTGCACGAGAAAAGTCCCGAATAGGACGAAATACGCATTCTGGATTCCACTGCTAGTCACCATTTACCAATTTACTGCAGGTTGAATAATCAGACACCGCTAAAGCATCTGCACTAAGATTTGACATGGCAATCTGAGGCCGAGCACTTCAATTCAATCAATCAATCGGAAAGTTCAGAATGAATTAACTAGGATCATAATTATATTGAAAAATTGACGTTTTTTGCAATTAGGATTAAAAATGCAGTAATAACAAAATAGACAGGAAGTTGAGATAAAAAAAAGTTGTGGCATAGAAAGCGTAACATTAACAGAAATGAACAGCAAGTTTGAACAAGAAAGAAAATAGGATGATCATTATTGACAGAATCAACTGTTTATGATGGAGACACAAAGACTGAACGCGTTTCTTTTAGATGCATAGTGTAGGCTTGGACTTTTGGATTGCTAGTGTCTCAGCTATGCCTAGATTTACCTTGATCTCACTCCTTTCGAAGAAATTTGATTCGATCCTGTATAGGTATTTGAAGGACTTTTCGAAATGCAGTGAGCTGAATGTAGTGAATTCGCCAGATGTTCTGTTACCAAGTTGTATACACATCTGCGTTCTCCGTTTACCAGCCAGGTCGGTAACGCATGAGCAAGTGAACTTATGGAGCTGAGTACATTGGCCATATCATTGGCGTCAGCTAGTGAAACGTGCTCGGGAACTACCTGTCTATTTTGTTATTACTGTGTTTGAAATACCTAATTGCACATACATTTAATCTTGTTAATTCGATCCTTGATCGGAAATAATTGGGGATCTTTCTCACCTCTTCACTATGCAATATTTACACGAATGTATGTCTTAGTTGATGTGTTCTTTATCGAAGCGAAAACGCTTCGCTTAGCTACAACCGTCTTTTTAATTTCTTCTATGATTTAATGCGTTGGTGGCATAGCGGTTAGGACGCTCGCCGACCATGCACATGGTCGGGGTTCGATCCCCGGCCGACAAGGCACTCCCAAACCTCGCTAAGCCAGAAATAATGCTGGTGAAGAGGGAAGGTTGGGAATGAGGTCAGCAACCCCATCCTGTAAAAATAATCACCACGGCTACAGAAACTTCAAGCCTCTAGCTCGAAGCCTTATGTTCCACTGGGAACGTGAAGGAATAAAAATCTAAATGATTTAATGTGCATATTTTGTGAAATCATTGACTTGTTTAGCTGGTTTTTATTCTTTATTTTTCTTTTTAAAAAATATTGATTTTCTTCAGACCATCGGATAAATCGCGTACAGAGAAACAACAGAAATTATCTACATTAAAACGTTTATGCAATCAATCTACACCAACGACAAAAAATTGGATGATGAGTAAAGCTCATAATGAGGGTAAACACTGTCTTAAAGTTTACTCTGAATTTTAGGTATTCAAAATATTCTTAAAGCATCATTTCATCAATCGGAAAATTCAAAAAATTCTCAACTGCCATTTCCAAATAATACAAAAAGTGATTTTGTCAGGTCAGTTATCGGTCAGTTTCAATTGGAGGAGTCAAAATTCAGTTGGAAAATCAATTGTTTAGTAAGTCTTGTTATAAAGGTTTCGTTCTTTTTTGGTTTTGTTTATACTTTTGAAGTGTTCGTCTGTTTGGATTCGATCGATTTCAAATTACATTTCAAAATAATTTAATTGGTCGATGGTGACTAGCAGTGGAATCCAGGACAACGCGCATTTCGTCCTATTCGGGACTCGTCACCTGGACTGGCACTGGGTTCGCGCCTCGTTGGGAACATCATCACTCACTGCGGAATGCAGGTACATCCAGATGACGAATCCCAAATAGGAAGAAGTGCGCATTGTCCTGGATTCCACTGCTAGTCACCATCCACCAATTAAATTTTAATTACATGCCCAGACATCGTCGAAGCATCTGCACAAGAAGCTGACATGTCAACCTGAGACTGAGCACTTGGGTCCAATCAATCGACGGGAAAATCTAAAATTCAGTTAAATACATCTCGGAATGTTATCACAGTTACAGAACCAACTATCAGGTCATTGGTTTCCCTGTTGCTGGTTGAATAGTCACTCTCTTAACACAAAAGTCGTGATTTCAATACCCAGTAAAGCTGTTGAATAGTTCTGAACTGGGATGAAACAGTACTCTGGTACTTCTTGGTTTTTAATGGTTCTCTAATTGATGTCATTTAGTGATCCAAGTTGAAATCGATAGAAGTAGACTAATCAGGTTTCTTTTTGATGGCCAATACTTTTCTTTGTCAAGTTTCTTGTATTATCTTTTGTATTACTGGAAGTTGATAATGCTTCTCAAGTATTGGTTTTGTAGGGATTTTCTTTGTTTGATTGGTCGGAGGATTCCAACATGAGCTGACATCAGTTGTTAGAGAACTATTGGAAAACCACCACTGGAGTACTGGACAGCTGTTTCGTCCTAGTTTGGGACTCTGCTTCAGCAGTACACACCCACCATCAGGGTTTGAACCCAGGACCTTCTGGTTACAAAGCGAGCTAGCTCGTAGACCATTTAGCGACTGGGACTCAATCCAATGACCAGCCCATGAATTCTAACTTCTGCCGATTGATGACATAGCGCGACCACTTCGCAATGTCTCCCTCGGTGAGTTACTGCCTCACCTTCAACCTGCTGTACCCTACTGGTCACGGATTGCCACTCGAACTCCAGGTAACTAACTGCCTGAATAGTGCCAGTCGCTAGTGAGCATCAGATCAATCTTCAAGTATTGTGTTTCTCTTCTGGTATTATGAATTCACTTGATGTGCGTCGGTGGCCCAGCGGTTATGACTCTCTCCGACTATGCACATGGTCCAGGGTTCGATCCCCGGCCGACGCTCACCTGGTATCCATGGTCGGCCTACAAAATTTGGGCTACCGATATCACATGCTGAAAATTCCATACTTGTACCAAAAATACAGTGTGGAATCAAGCTATAATGAAAAATAAAATAAAAATAAAAATGTGATTGTGAACAATGAGGAATTATTACACGCTGGAAAATACTGCAAATATACACAAAATGTTGATTTTTCTGAAAGTTGGAAGACCATGATCGTTTACTAAGCAAGATGTGATTTCAGCACAAGGTGGTTGGTTGTCTTCCTGTTTTCAATGAGAAGCGCTCCACTTCGTTTCTGCTCATGGAAGCTGGTGCTGAACACTTTCTCCTTTTCTTTCTTTTTGCATGACCCGTCGTATTCTTGTAAAGCTAATTTCATTAAATATACCGATGATCTGACAGTTTCTGTCCCAGCAGTTTCTACTTTGGATTGTTCTGATATGAACTGATTCTTATCTGAGATTAAGCAATGGTCTCACTCAAATGGTCGTAAACTGAATCTCTCTAAATGTTACACTGTGGATTTTAGTCTCAGAGACGTGAGTAAAACTTGTGTGGACTGAATGACTCCCATAATTTTCGTATTATCGACATCATTGTGATAGACAGTAAATCAAATATCACCTATCTTGGAATCAGTGCCTCTTCGAATTTTTTGTTGTTGGTCGTCTCATATATTGTTGATTTCAAAGGAAAATCACAACGACGCAACGCCTCTACCGGAGATATGGAAAGTGGTCAGAAATAACGAAGGGAAGCTGGAGAGATAGATGCTTACCCTGATGTAAGTGCCTTAAATAGATCTTTTATAGTTCAACAAGCTTAGATGACTGGACCTGATGTTCCTAGTCAAGTAAATGATCATTTAAGTGTTGGTTTGTAGGGATTTGATTGGTTACAGGATTTCGTCGTGAGCTGACATCAGTTGGAGAACCATTGGAAAACCTGGGAGTACTGGACAGCTGTTTCGTCCTAGTTTGCGACCCTTCATCATTTCGCACCCACCGGGATTCGAACCCAGGACCTTCTGGTTACAAGGCGAGCTCGTATACCATTAAGCCACTGGGACCCGATCCAATGGCCCATGAATTCTAACTTCTGACAATTCACGACATAGCGCGACCCCTAGCCAATGTCTTCGGCGAGTATTTGTTCTCACACCCGACCTGCTGCACCCTACTGGTTACGACTTTTCACTAGAACCCCAGGTAACTACCTACCTGAATAGGGCTTTAATCAAAAGGATGCATTAACATGTCTCATATTCCTTAAATCCATCACACAGCCTAGAAAACCGATAGTGTACCAAGCATTTTACTTCGAAAGTGTGCTGATATTTTGTGTTATCCTCTCACTTAAATCTTAAATGCATCGTTTTACAAGGATACAGTACCTGTTGCCTGGAAGGAAAATAAAGGTGGTGCCTGTACCGAAACCATCTTCTGGATTAGGTCTAAAGTCTGGGCCAATCCCAAAATTATGGACTAACTTCTCTTGCATGTTCTTGTACCTTCTTTGAAATCTTTTAATGACCCAAAGCAGTTTGCTTTCAAATGCAGTAGAGGCATATTAGAAGCTGTTGTTGTACCCCATCACAATATTGTTTCAAATCTTGATAAAGGTGCAAAGTTTGTTTGAGCCTCCTTTTTAGACTATACTACTGCTTTTGACTCTCTTCCTAGGGCACTTTTACCAAGCATGCTGATTTCAGAAAACACTGAATCTTGGGTCATAAGGTGGCTGTCTTCTTATTTTTCCTGTAGAAAACAAGATACTGCTTTGAATGGAAAGCGCTTCATTTCATTGCTAATGAAAACTGGTATGCCTAAAGGTGCTGGCTGTACTCTCTCCATCCCTTTTTCTTTCTTTTTTGCATGACCTTCCATATTCTTCCAAAGCTAACTTCATTAAATATGCCGATGATCTAACCATTTCTGTCCCAATAGTTTCTGTTTTGAATTGTTCTTATATAAGTTGATTCTTATCTGAAGTTAACAAATGATCTCACTTCAATGGTCTTAAACTGAATCCATCTAAATATCATTAATGTTGATTTTAGTTTCAGATCCGATTAAGACTTGCGTAGACTGATTCAGTCGGATGATTTCTGTAATATCGACAGCCCTTTGATAGGGAGTAAATCAAATATCACTTATCTTGGCATCAGTTCCTCTTCGAATTTTTTTTTGTTGGTCGTCTCATATCCTGTTGATGTCTGAGAAAATTTTTCGTTTTGACTTATTACAAAAAGAAGTTGAGACCTTCTACTGGCATAACTCCACCTCTTCTCTTACAATTCATTAATAATAATAATTATAACTTTTGCTTTATTCCAAAAACAGTACTAATGATACAGAAAGGAATTTTTCAGCATTCAGTACAATATTGCATCTAATTTACTCAAAAATGACAACAAAAAAAAACAAAATAAAAAAAATTACATAATAATAATAATAACAAAACGTTGTTATAGCAGCTATTTAGTAAATTAATGTATGCAATACGGAGAAAAGTATGCATAAAGTATGAAATTATAGTAATAATAGTAATAACAACTAAAATAAAAATAGCAAAGTTGTAATTAAACGATAGAAAGGGTGACACCATAGAATTACAGAAAGATGAACAATGAAAGGGTCGATTCACTTTACTAGTTATATAGTAACTTATATGTTTCACGTCTAACAGAGTCTTCATCATATAAAATACTGGCTATATACGGTATTGTAGAATTTTTATTCTTAGTGGTTCGAGCATATAACTTCTTATATTGACTTCTCGTCCTACCTGATGAGATATCAGGGGATAGTTGTGAATAAAGGGGGTGCAGAGGGGCTGACAGTATGGCCTTTGCCCACTTTGTACAGGAATTTATGTGTCTCTTGACTATAGTATTGGCGAGTTCACGCAGTGGCAAACCACAAGCCCTACTCACAGCATTTAATACCCTTCGTAATATGATACAGTCTTTTTTGAGAAGCCCAGGAAAGATTAATGGATAGCAATAGAGTACAATAGGTAAAATACAGGAGTTTAAAATTGCAGAACTAAGGGTTGGTTGATACCTGATTGTCTTAACTTTTTAATGTAGAAGGTAAGACGAAACATTTTTTTAGAGATTTATAAGATGTGGGATGACCATGAAAGGTCAGAGGGAAGAACTAATCCAAGGTATTTAATGCTTGACTTGGTTTCACTTTCAGTGCCATATATGCTACAGGCATCATGGGAACTAACTAGTTCACGTATGTCATATCGATGCTTGAAAGTAAAGTTTAATGCCTGACATTTTGAAGGATTTAACATAAGACCATTTGACTTAGACCACTTGCTGATGTACAGCAGAAAGCTATTAAGTTTGGAGCAGTCAGAATCGGAAGTGATAGGCAGTGATACATCAGATCATTAGCATATAGTTTCGTTTAAATGAGGCAGGTCGTGTAGGAAGAAAGAAAAAAGTAAACGAGAGAGGATGACACCTTGAGGAACGCTGGCTTTTGTAAGCGAGGCAGAAGAAGATTTGCCATCATATGCAGTATACTGCATTCTATCAGAAAAATGAGAATGCAACCAACTCTTAGCCCAGGATGTTGTATGCGTCAAGGAGAGCTTATTTAATAAAAGGCCCCTAGGTACATAGTCAAAAGCAGATGTGTTCTACCCATTCTCCTTCATTGTTCGCCCCACTTATTCTTCCCTAGACT